TTTATAAATCTGAAATATATAAAATATTAGTATAATCTATTATATAATTTAACAGAATTAGGAAGAAAATTAAACGAAAATCAAACTGAATAGGATTCTTTATTTTGTTAACCAAACCGTTTAATCCATAAATCGAATAACTCAAAACCGTTTAATCCACAAATCGAATAACTCAAAACCGTTTAATCCACAAATCGAATAACTCAAAACCGTTTAAACTAATCTCATTCAATTTGTAGAGATATTCGATTTTGTTTACTTTTTACACCCCTGGTTTTTAGCCAAAAATATGAATAATGTTTATGAATTTTTTAAAGAGGTGGATAGTTTTTCCGATGGGTTGCTATCTTTTTGTTAGAAAAAGTAAAAAAAAAAAAAAAACTTAATAAACTTTCTTATTTTAAATGGTTTATTTGTTAAGTTGTTTTTTTGAATGAAAAACTATTAAACCTTTTCATTTTGAATGATTAAACCCTGAATTGTTTTTTTGAATGAAAAAACTATTAAAACTTTCACATTTTGAATGATTAAGATCCTAAATTTTAAAAAATAAATAAAAATAAACCATCGAACTTTTACTAGTCGGTTAATATAATTTTTTTTGAGTAAAAAAGATGTAGGTAACCAAATTTTAAAAGTATGATGATTTATTTATGAAAATAATGTTTAGAGATTTAATCAACCAAAATGAAGAAGTTTAATGATTTTTTTCAATTAAAAAAAAAAGAAGTTCAATGGGTTTTTCATCAAAAAAAAAAATAGCAAAAAAATTGATCATTCAAAATTAGAAAGTTTAATCATTTTTTTATTTATAAAGTTATTTTAAGAATTTAACCATTCAAAACCAAAAACTTTGATCAACCAAAATAAAAAAATTCAATAGTTTTTTCATTTAAAAAAAATTTAATAATTTTTTTATTTAAAATAATAATTCAAAAACTTAACCATATAAGATAAGGAAATTTAATAGTTTTTTAATTTAAAAAAATAAAAACCATTCAAAATAAATAACTTTGTTGGTTGTTTTTAAAGTTTTGGCTATCTTTTTTAAATTTTTAGTGGAAATAGAAAACAAAGTTTGTGACACAGAGAGGTACAGAGGAAGTGAAAAGACATATATGGGTCTAGGGACGAAAAATGTCCAAATGAAAAATACCAAACTCATGCATGGCACCATGGTCGCTTTGTTTTTGCTTTTAAACGTTTTACAGCTGAGCACGTGCAACTGCTAAACCGAAACAAAATACAGCTGGCATTTAATATTTAATTTCATTAATGACTTAATCAAATATTTAATTTCATTAATAACTTAAACAAATATTTAACATCCATCAATTATTTGAAATTTTTTAATACAAAATCTTATATATATATATAGAGAGAGACAGAGTGTGTGTTTCAAATTATTGTGTTAACTTTATTAATCATTTTTAAGCAATAACAATACATTTTAGTATTAGGTTCAATCAATTTTAGAATTTAATGACAAGGATAGACATGTAATTTTTTTTTTTATATAACTCCTATATCATTAGCTGGAAATTACAAAATCATAAAATTACATTATTTGTGTTAACTTATTATTAATCTTGTTATTTTTTATAATATTAATTTTCTATCTCTAATTTTATGAATTTGTGATTGGTGGAGAAGACCTGGTAGTAAAGTTTTCGTTATCGTTCAAATTGACATATATGAAAGATAATGAACATGTGTGACCATATGGACACAAATTCACATATGAGAACATTCGTACAACCATATAAACACAACTCGACATATATGAACCATTGTGTCAATTACGAACACAAAGTGACATATATGAAAACTTATGTCAATTACGAAAACAAATTGACCTATATGTACAGTTAACACTTGTGTCAATTACGAAAATAGATTTGACCTATATGTACAATTGGTATAAATATGAACACATATTGACCCAAATAAACTTACGAAAGATGATGAACATGTGTGACCATATGAACACAAATTCACATATATGAACATTCGTACAACCATATGAACACAACTCGACATATATAAACCTTTGTATCAATTACGAACACAAATTGACCTATATGAACCTTTGTGTCAATTACGAACATAGATTGGCATATATATACAGTTGGTATAAATATTAATACATATTGACACAAATGAACATATGAAAGATGATGAACATGTGTGACCATATGAACACAATTTTGGAGGTGTTTTCGTTTGGCGCAAACAACTTTTGGCGCGATCTAAGTCGTAAAACACGTTTTTCGCATACCACTATGTCCCCTCACGTGTATTATCACATGTGATAAGGGTGTTCTTGTAAATTGGAGGTGTTCTCGTTTGAATCTCCACACACACACACACACACACACACACACACACATATATATATATATATATATATATATATATATATATATATATCTAGGGGCTGGTTCAAATGCTAACCAAGATTATCGTGTTAACTTTGTTAACCGATCTTGACCGTTAATTTGAATAATAAGCGGTTGTGATTTAATGATATTTAAAAATTAATTATTAAATTAATATTTTCAATTAACATATGTGAACAAAATATCAAAGGGTATTTAGGTAAAAAGTAATCTATCTTTGATACACGAGTTGTCAGACATATAAACAACTTGTATATATCTTCAAACCACATCAAACAAAAAAGATTAGACATATGAACAACATGTGAACCGTATGAACATCTTCTGTATATTCAGGAGCCAACTCTGTTGTATGTACATGAACACTTATGAACCAAGTCATCTAGGGGTGTGTGTTTTCATACGTGTTCACATGTTTTCACATGTTCTGTGTGTGTGTGTATTCATATGAACATCTAGTGACTTAAATATACATGAACACTTATGAATCACGGCATCTAAAACTGTGTGATTTCTAATGTGTTCATATGTCAAAGGTGAGAACTATCGATTAAAATAAATGTGAATTATAGAACATTAACACGTGTGAAACCCCAATGTCAATATTGCATCATGATCAATTGTGATATTTTCAAATTTGTAACTCCCAATTAATTATTTGGAAGTTATATAAAATGACAAATTACTTAAATACCCTTGTATTTAATATATGAGTTACATTTGAACCAAAGGAAAATATCGAATATGATTGGTTGAGTTTGGTTAACATAGTTAACACAAAAAATTTGGTTAGTATTTGAACCAAGCTCTATCTATCCATATCTATACTATGTTATAAAACATTTGACAAAAACTCTTAAAAACCATTTTTTATGCATGAAGTACTATTTATTGATGCATATTACTTTAAATTTAAGATTACAAGTGATTTTGCGTAATTACAACTTATTAAAGCTTCATTTTTAAATCCGTGTAACTAACTGCAGATAAACATAATTAAATACAGGATAAACATCGATTTTAAATATAAAAAATCTAAAATGTAATTAAGATAATAATTGAGTTTCTAACCGAATGTTTAATTATTATCTTTAATATAAATTATATTATTAAACCAAAAATAAATTACTTTGTTATTAGACTTAAATTAAATTGTAATAAAAAATTGAATTAAAGAAGTTACATTAAAAAAACGAGAACTATTAAATAGTTAGTTTAATACTAATATAGAATTTATTTTTTTTTAAATTTTTTATGCTATCTTCAAATTTATATTTTATTCAAAAATAAAAACATTATCGTTTTCTTAAAACCACGAAAAATCGTATTATATTGATATAAACAAATAATAAAAACTAAATATTAAAATGAAAATATATCTCGCTGCATTGCACGAGTACCCTTCTAATATATATATATATATATATATATATATATATATATTAAAATTATTAATTTCAATATTAAATACAAAAAGTAAAAAATTAAACTGCTAATTAATACTATTTATTACATTTTCTATTATTATAAATATTGAAAGATCAAATTTGATGTTATATCATTAGTAGACATTATCTTTTTTAAGGGTTTTATATCATATAAAATAGTAGTTTAGTTTTGAGATTTGTATATAATTACTTTATTTTTGTATAAAAAAATTATATAATTACATAATAAACAACTGAAGCTAACGGGAAGTCGAAATCAAACCAAGGGATATGTCTTATATTTGGATAAGTTATCTTACCTCTTTATTAACTGAGCTACACATCATATAATCATTATTTATTTTAATGTAAAGATAAAGTTTAATAAACTATGTTTAATAAATTGAAATCAATACTATCTAATAAATTAATACAATAGTTTATCGTAAAGTTAAAGTTTATTTATTTCTAATAAATTTAGTTTTAATTTATTTAAAAAACTTGATTACTTTTTAATAAACTGAAACAGTAACAGCATGTTTATTTAATAAATGCTTGTTTTGAATAGTAAAATAATTTAATTTGAAATCAAATATGAACTTCATTTAAATGAAAAACATAGTATAATAATATGATATTTTACTACAGCAATTTAAAATATGTGAATATAATTATAACAAAATCTGTATAATTAAAATTAAAAAGAATACTTAAAATTGGTTTTTATAAATGAATCTCAACTTATCTGAGATCCATAAACGGGCCTAGAGGGGTGGTTAGGTGGCACATATCATCGTGATAAGGTAAAAAAAATTAGGTTCGTGAAAGGTACAACAATTTTATTCTAGAATGTATAATTGTTTTATATGATATTACGGTATCTAAAAATTCTTGGGTCCGTCTCTGCTGAGATATCAAAATTTGAGCTCCTAAATGTCTGTATTAAAATAAAAGTGGTTGTACATGGAAATCAAGTTTGAGCTCCTGAATATTTTAATACAAAATTTGTGGTATAAGAAAATAAAACATATGAAAAGGTGATTTTGGTAGGCACAAAAAGTCATTGGATTTTAATCGCTGGCGTATTGAATGCCATGGCGAGGCAACCATAAAGAGTTCGTTGGGGATGGTTGCCTCCTTTAAATCCCAAATTCATCCCTTCAACCCCAACCCACAATTTCCCTCTCTGAATCCCATTCCCTCTCTGTTCAACAATGCCGGATTCACCATCAGATAGAGAGAGAAGAACATCTCTCCCGAACTTCCTTTTATCGGTGAAACTCAAATATGTGAAGCTAGGTTACCATTACTTGATCTCACATTTCATGTACCTTCTCTTAATCCCACTCCTCGCAGTCGTCTCTGTTCATCTATCAACCCTTACATCACAAGATCTGGTCCATCTATGGCACCAACTCCGGTTCAATTTAGTCACCGTCATTGTTTGCTCCACTCTAATCGTCTTCTTAGCCACACTCTACTTCATGAGCCGCCCGAAGAAGGTTTACTTGCTCGATTTCGCTTGTTACAAACCCGAAGACGCCCACATCGTCAGTCGTGAAACATTCATGGAACGTTCGGCTCTCGCCGGCACGTTTAGCGAAGAGAATCTGGCTTTCCAGAAGAAGATTCTGGAACGCTCTGGTTTAGGTCAGAATACTTATTTCCCTGAGGCGGTGCTTCAGGTTCCACCCAACCCGAGCATGGCGGAGGCTCGGAAGGAGGCGGAGATGGTGATGTTTGGTGCGATCGATGAGCTATTGGCCAAAACAGGGGTGAAGGCTAAGGATATTGGGATACTGATAGTCAACTGTAGCTTGTTTTGCCCAACACCTTCGCTTAGTTCCATGGTGGTGAACCGTTACAAGCTCAGAGGGAATGTTTTGAGCTATAATCTGGGTGGGATGGGTTGCAGTGCTGGATTGATTTCAATTGATCTTGCCAAACAGCTTTTACAGGTATATTTTTTCCTTTTATTTCCTCAACTTCAGTCCAATTGGGGTATGAGTTGTCGATACTTTGATGGATTTCTTGTAAATCCCAAGATACATATTACATATACCTCGGTTCTAACGTATCCCTCATGTGATGTAACCATGTTTAAGAGCATCTCTTTTATATCTCCTCTATGTTTCTCTCTCGTTTTTTTTTTTTTTTTTAATTTAAAAAGTTATTTTAACATAACTGCTTTATCAATTTCTTTTTAAAGTTTTTGAAGTACTTTCAAAAGCTGTGCTATAATAATCTTTTAAAATTCTCAAATTTTTATTGTGACATAAATATTGAAGATGTTTTAAAATTGATATTTTTGCTTTTGATTCTTGCATCAAACCTTGTCCTTTATGGAGATGTGGTATTGATTGCATTGGGTTAGAATGAGTATATGCAAATCTGAAGGCATGATGTTGATGTTGATGTTGAAGTTGAAGTTGAAGATTTGAATAAGAATCATCAAGTACACAAGTATTGATGGGATCAACCTTCTTAGCTACCATCGCTTTTAAGATTAAGGCATGATATTGATGGTTATCATTTTGTCATGTTCATAATTCAAAGCACATGACATGGCTACCTTTCAAGTTCAAGATTTGGGCATTAGGGTATATTTGTCTTTTTCTTTTTCTGCTGTTCATCTTTATTGGGTAGAGGGGGTATATTGTCTATATCTTATTCAAACTAATCATGTATTAGTACTCGGGGAATTGGGATTTGCGAGAGAGGGATACAATTGTCATTTCATACTTGCTTGCTTTTATACCCAACATGTCAAAAATGGTCCCACTGGTACTCCGCCCTTTTCCAAAGGTTTAGATCTACATCTTAGACAACCTGGACTTTACATATGTTTATAATAGATGTGATTAATATAAATTATAATTGAATTCAAACAAATTATATCAAAACATAAACATTTTATTATGACATTCCTCTTGTTTCAATCTTTTTGATGTTTTTTTTTTATTTAATTCCATGTGGGGTGCCTTATATTGTGATGCTTCTAAATCCATAAATATTGGAGAAACTAGTGAAATGATACCGATTTGTTTGTTGGAAATAGGTGAATCCTAATTCCTATGCTTTGGTGGTTAGCATGGAAAATATAACATTGAATTGGTACTTTGGGAACAATCGGTCTATGCTTGTGTCAAATTGTCTTTTCCGAATGGGCGGGGCTGCCATTCTCTTGTCTAATCGGTCTTCGGATCGTAGCCGTTCAAAATACCAACTCCTCCACACTGTTCGGACCCATAAGGGTGCGGATGACAGATGTTACAGCTGTGTTTTCCAAGAAGAGGATGATGAGAAAAAGATAGGTGTGGCTCTCTCAAAAGATTTGATGGCGGTTGCTGGTGAGGCCTTGAAAACCAACATCACTACACTTGGCCCGATAGTGCTTCCCATGTCTGAACAACTCTTGTTCTTTGTCACGCTGGTTGGAAGAAAAGTCTTCAAAATGAAAATCAAACCCTACATCCCTGATTTTAAGCTTGCGTTTGAGCATTTTTGCATTCACGCCGGTGGAAGAGCAGTTCTTGATGAATTAGAAAAGAATCTTGAATTATCAGATTGGCACATGGAACCTTCTAGGATGACTCTTTACAGGTTTGGGAATACTTCTAGTAGCTCTTTGTGGTATGAATTGGCATATTGTGAAGCTAAGGGTAGGATACAGAAGGGAGATCGATCATGGCAAATTGCTTTTGGCTCGGGTTTCAAGTGTAATAGCGCAGTTTGGAGAGCTCTAAGGACTATTGATCCTGCAAAGGAGAAGAATCCATGGATCAACGAGATCCACGAATTCCCAGTTCATGTGCCAAGGATTACGAAGATTGGTTCTTAATCAGTGCTCCGCTTGTTCTTCATTTTTAATTGTTACTATGTACTATAAAAGTCGTAAAGGCAAAAAGCCTTTGGCCTTTCCTTGTAATGCATGTGAGTGTAAAATTAGATATTTAACCTCTATTCTTGTTTCAAAATTCTAATTCAAACTTAAACCACAGTCTAATAATTACTTTATGAAAATAAATATGGGAGGTCGAAAACCGGAACTTGAAGTACGAAGGAAGGTAGAACTACAAACATAGACCGAATTCACGTTTCAAAATTTATAAGTGTACGAAGAAACTATGAGAGAACTGCTATGAGACTACAAGAATGATGACATTACATTGTGATGGCTTTATTGTTTGAATTCAATGATCTTGAATAGTTTTCTTGGTAGTTGGCAGTAAGGGGAAAGTTGAGCCAGATCTTTTACGTGGTCCAGCACATTGCAGTGGAACTCATAAAGACGAATGTGTTATAAAGTTGTTTTTATGTCGGATGGTTTGGAAAAGAGTGATTGCTTTTACGAAATTTGCATGTATAATTTGATAATCGTGAAGAGACAAGGCTTGCATATGTGTGAATATATAGGAGTCTAACAATGAATATAATGAATAGCCTAAAAGGCCCATCATGTGATGTGCACGTAACATTTATCGACTTTAGTCGGAGAAAACGATGTTAATTTCACAAACCAAAACAAAAACAAAATGATGAATTTGAATGAAGAATATAAAGAAAATATAAATAAACTACACCTGCACATAGTTAAGGGACTAAATTTTATTAATCTTTGGTCATTATATGGTCCAGTTGATTTATAACTACATGTCAGTTTAAAGGAAAAAGAAAAAAAAGCATTCATTTTAGTTATTACTATTTTTATAATATGTTACTTTAGCCACTACATATACGACTTTCATTGACGGAAGTATACGTCGCCGTTAAAAGCCGGATCCATCGGTGATGTCAGTAAAAGTCCCTCAGTAAAAATGTCGTGGGAAAAGGAATTATTGATGGATATCACCGACGGATAAATGTACCGACAGATTAGCGACGACCCTTTGTGCCGATGGATCACCGACGACACTTGTTACGACAGATCACCGACGACCATTTTTACCGAGGATCACCAACGGTTTTTACGAACATAATTAAAAAAAGTTAATTGAATTACTGACGGATTTTTTGCCGCTAATCCATCGCAATAATTGAGTAAATTACGAATTTAGTCCCTGTGCTTATATGAAATTTTAGATTGGGTCCCTCAGATGAAATACTTACAAGTATTATCATTGTGGTTTCACTTTTATTACGGATTGGCTCTTGGCCTAACTCTGTCAACTTAACTCTAATTAAATCAAGGGCATTTTGGCCCTTTTACTTATTATTTTAAAAATAACATATTTCTATACATTAATTAAATATATTTCTATTATATATACATAATAATATATATAACATGTCACAATATCTCCCACGAACGTTCTCGTCGACGACTGTTCTTCTTCTCTGGTTAAGCCTCTCGCTCTCCCCCTTTCTTCATCATTGTCGTGACTGACGACAATCTTATTAGTGACCCCCTTCCCTTCGTTGACCGCCCACCTCACAGTCATTACCACTACCCATGGCCGCCAAGCCAAGACCTACATCTATGTGCGACGTGTCGGACCTGGACTTTATCCCTTGATCTATTTGTATGAGTACAATTTCTAGATCGAAAACCAGGATTTATCTCTCGATGTGTATTCTTCACGATTTCATATAGCCCTCGTTATCTTTGTTCTGTCCTCAACCATGGGCGATATAGTTTTTGTTGATTTAAGTAATTATAGATGACTGACCTACTCGACTTCAGGTGTAAGGTGGACTTCCAGATCGCTTTGGACATGGGGGTCGATCATCTTAGTGTCATAGTGTCCAACGATCAACTCGAAGGCATTAAGTACATCCCCTCATGGACGGTAATAGTGGAGCCAGAGCTAGGGGTGGTTTATCGCGACGAACATGGAGAGAAGGTGTTTTCTGAGACGACCAACGCTTCAAGTATTCCAACTCAACTCTTGTGATTCATAAAGAACAACGTGCATATAGGCAGAGATCAGACCCATGGCACAAAAGAGAGAGCCACTATGCTTATCAGATCAATCGATAATGTACTGGAGTTTCGTGAGCTTCTTAGGAGGTTCATGAAACTTCAACATCTCTAGGTATCTCTTTTTGTAAACTTTTGAAGACTTCTGTTAGTACGTAGTTTCCACTTTCAGTACTTGTAGTCTTATTTCAATAAAATAAATTTACATACAGAGGACTATGTTGGTCTCTTGCTTTACTAGACTAGTTTTTCATTCAAGTAAGAGTATTTCTTATTTACACTTAAGAGGAGATTGTTAGATACCCTTTTCATAGAAATGTAAGTAAGAAGCCTCTTACTCTAGTCAATAGGACTTAGTCTAAAAAGCTGTGTAGAACAAAAGCTCGGATGCAGAATTCACCAAGAGACAGAGCTACTCGGATATAGAGGAAGTACCTCGCATACAGAGCCCGTGCTCAAGCAAAGGAAGATCAAGTCTTAAGCGTCAAAAAGCTTAAGGACTTGATGCAGAGCTACCACTCCAAACACAGAGCCTCTGCACTATACATGCAGAGCCTTTGGGTCTCCTCCGCCCTTGACTTGTGCATAGAGCTTCCAGCGCATCTCCAAGTGTTCCAATCAGAATCTAACACGTGTGCAGAAATGGTTCCAAATTTCAAGGAACGTGAAGGCTGAAGTTTCTGGATACAAAGTCATAGTTTGAAGCCTATATTATAATAGATTCTATTTGCAAATGGCATATAAAATGAGGTCTCCTCCTTGGAATCAAATGATCCGAATTGCCATATTTTATATATACTCCTGTAAGAGAATACTTGTGAGAATTAGATAGTTGTGGAGAGTTCATTGTAACCTTCTTCAATTAATCAAAATAGCCGACTTGTTCAACTCTTGATTCTTATTTGAGATTTTGTTCAAATCTTCTAACCTTTTCAATATTATAGTTATAGCTTCCACTCATATATTGATCTAAGCTGTGATGATTGATACATTAGAGGATTCTAGGTTCCAACAAGTTTCATTTGATCGCTGAATACTGAGATGATGCTGAGAGGTCTCTTCAGTGTTAGCTAAAACTTGCGTAGACTTCACACATATGTAGACGAGGTTGTAATCACTGAATACCGCTTTAGATCATTAACTTGCTGGTCTCTAATCTTCAGCTTATGTCTTCGACATTGCTGAAGGATCTGTGGTGTGAGTTTTGTCTTCTTGAAGTATAACAATCTCCAAATGAATTACAATACACGTTCAGTCAGTGAAGATTACTCAAACTGAATAACAAAAATACTATACTTCGATAGATAAAAGGCATCAATATCAAATCAACGTGATAGAGGATCAACAGGTTGTAATAGTTTTTATATTGATTTATATGTTATGTATTAACAGGTGTGGAATACCAACATATTTAGGCATCAATTTGTAGCCAATAAGGCCAATCGTGCCACCGAGTATAAGTGGATGTCCTCCAAGCACATCGAAGGATCTATTAGTATAGTTTAGCATTGGGCACACATGGTATTTTATCATCTACTGTACTAAATATTTATAATTTATACCTTCATTTTCTACTAACAATTAAGTTGTCTATGGTAGAGAGATGCATAGAATTGTGAGCCTACTACTAATGAGGTTTTCGATAGGATACACTGCAGCAACAAGAAGCTTGTTCCGGGTGCGACCCGTCCACCCATGGATCCTTTGATTTGCGTTTACATGAAGGTGGCTGATGTGGCGGTAAGTTAAATTTTCATAGCGGATTTAGTTTGCTTTATAGGATTAGTTAGTTTTATAGCTTATATAACTATTAATTAGTATGGGCTGCCATTGTTGCGTAAACAATAGGTGTAAATGTTATAATTGCATTTTATATGTTAGAACAGGTAATAGATATGTTTGAATTACAACCGTTATGCTTCTGAACTATCTACATGTCAGTTAACACAATTTTGTTCTAGTAAACTGTAGGCGGTATATTCACAGCTTACAGAGGAGACATATATTGGCTCAGATTTGAGCGTCATTCCTCCTAATGAGCCAGAATTGTGGGAGCGTAGTGTCAGAGGTTGGTGCAAGGGCCGCATAGTCATATTAGGGACCCATCAGGATGTAATATTCTGGTACTTATTTTAAAATTATATATATATATATATATATATGATTGGATATGTGTGAATGTGGGTAAAATATTTTTATTATTAAAAAAGAAGGTCGGCTATTTAGCCACCTATCACCTTTCCATGTGGTTGGGTTGATATAAAGAGTATTGTGAAGAAAAAGGAACACACATTCATACTATAATTGGAAAGCTTTACACTCTGAGAATTTGAAGAACTGCACAGGAAGAAGAAGAAGAAGATTTCAAAAGCTTTGTTATTTGACTTCTAAAAGGTGAGTGTATTAAGAGCTTTGGATATGAACTGCTTACATACAGCTTGATAAGCATTTAGAACTGTTATTATGAATTCTATAGCATTTTGTATGGATTCTTGTCTAAACCGTTCAAGGGTTATTCGGATTGATATCCGGATAAGAAAACCGCTCATGCCTTGACCGGATATCATCTAAACCGGTCAAGTGATGACCGGATATCGTCTAAACCATTCAAGTGGTGACCGGTATACTCTAAACCGGTCAAAGGTTGTGTGATGTATTGTCCGGTATACTCTAAACCGGTCAAAGGTTGTGCGGTGTATCGTCCGGTTTATTTTAAACCGAATAACGTTATAAGTGATGTATTGTCCGGATTTGTAATCCGGACAAAGATGTTAATTTATTTTCAAAGTGTTTTGACCGGACTTGTAATCCGGACAGTATTGACCGGACTCTAAGTCCAGATAAAGAGTTAATTTTTGAAATGTTTTTGAGATGAAATGGCGGTGTAACCGCGAGAGAGATGAAATGGCGGTGTAACCGCGAGAGAGATGTAATGGCGGTGTAACCGCGAGAGAGATGGCGGTGTAACCGCGAGAGAGATGAAATGGCGGTGTAACCGTGAGAGAGATGGCGGTGTAACCGCGAGAGAGATGAAATAGCG